TACGCCATCAGGCAAGGAGGGCAGGCATGCCACCTCCCTCCCTCAGCACTCTCTTGTGCCTCCCATGAAGTCTGGGATATCGTTTGGAAAGAAACGTTTCCATCTGGTATCACAGCTCCTTAGGCTGGAAGAAGCTGCGGGGCAGCTGGAAGAAACCGCAGGGGACGTTTGCTCCCACAGACAAAAAGATGGACTCTTGCAATGTGGGGGGCTCCTGAAGGGACAAGAGCTTCTGCAACACGGCTCTGCATCCAGCTCCCCCAAGGATCAGGGCCCTGGTGGAAAATGAAGCTGGCGTGCCAGTCTCAGGCAAACGTGCTGCACGCTTGCCATGCGTGGAGAGAGCGGCCTCCTCCGGGACGGGTGTCAGGAGCCTTTCTGAGTCCCTGCGCCTGGTGGGTCCAAAGGGGACATCTCTCCTGTGTGGCTGCAAGTGGCTCCTTCCTCCTTTCCCCCAAGGGTCTCACCTGGTGGAAGGCTTCTTCTCCAGATCTTGCTGCCTCGTGCCTGGCTCCCAGCTTCTCACCGTGGGGAGGGAAAGCTTCCGCCTCTCCAGCAGCTTGCCAGGATGGCACAATGAAACTAGGAAAGGAGGAAGCTCTTCAGAGCAGCCGCATGGGCACTGCCTTTTAAGCTGGTTGCAGTCAGCCAGCATGGGGCAGGGACCACCCCCAGACAGCACGGACCCTTACCTCCTCTCATCCTGCACTCTCCTGCAGCTTGCTGCTGCGAGGTGAACCGCACTTTGGCCTCTGGCCTTGTCCTCACAGTCAGATGAAACCTGGCAAACAAATGACACGGGCTTGAAGAAGGCTGGCCTCCTACCCGTTGCTGCTTGCTGGCAGTAATCCTCCTGGTGTTGCACGGGACATGGCATCCCTCTTCCGTCACGTTCATGCATGGGGTTTGTTGTCAAGCTTCCCGCAACACCAGAAAAGGTAGCCTAAATTCCCCTCCACATGCAGGCAATTCTCTCTGAGGGGAATCGCGGCAGCACGGGCACAAGAAGCACAACCGCAGTGCCCCTCCTCGCCAGGTGAAGACACTCGTAGCCGAAAGTCAGCATGAGTTAACCAGGACCCAGTCTCTTCAGGATTTAGCCCCGACTGGATGCTGAGCGTGGAGACCCGACCGCGCACGTTCCAAAGGAGGAGGTGGGAAGCCAAGGGCTGCGGAGGAAATGCACTCACCTTGGGAACATCTGGATCGCACGAGCGGTGGTCTCTCCACTCAAGGCAGTCGGGTGTGCCGGCCACATTCTCTGCAAAGAGACACAGACCTGCTGGAGGGTTTCTGAGGCACTTTTCTCAGGGCTCTCATTGACAGGAAGCAAACCTGTCTCCCAAGCCAAAAGAAAGCCTTCTCTCCAAAACCCTCCTCCAAAGCCTCTTCCATCAACCTTTGTTCTGCTCTGGAGGAGCATGGCAGAATATTGAGGCTGTACAGTAACGCTGCCAGCCTTTTGCAGCGGCCAGCATCCAGACGCCCAGAAGAGCTAATGGAGAAAGCAGCTAATGGGGCAGGCGTGGGGAAAGGCATCTGACTGGCCTGCCATGTCCAGGCTGGCCAACAGCGGTCGGATTGATCACCCTTCCACAGGATTCCCAAAGAAATTGAAGTAGCCCTCAAAACATCACCAGCTTACACTGTGGAGCATTGCAACGAGGTCTGCAGCGCTCTCCAGACGTTTAACACAGTCTGGATAAAACTTCATGCACAGGAAATCATCTTCACAGGTCAAAACACCGATGTCCCTGAAGGCAAAGGGGACGTGCTCCTTGTTCTTCAGGAGGCAACAGTACAAGACGATGGTCTCTTGCACACACTCCTGCACCACGTACAGTGGGAAGGAGGTGGCTGCGCGAGCTGCAGGTAGTTCAGCTGCTCGACCTTGACGTCATCTGCAAGGAGAAGCAACATCCTCAGTGCCACAGCAAGCCCAAGTTGCTTGCAGCATTCCGAACAAGGGCCTAGAGGAAGGGTCGCTAAGAGAAACAGCTCCGGGGCCACGGGGTCTTCTGGGGGAACTCAAGCTCCACCCTGACCGTTGGAGACAATCCTCTGCCTCTCCCAGGCCTTTCCAAAGAGCAGGGAGAACAAATCTTTCCGGACATGGGGCAGGAAGAGGGGAGCTGCTGCCTTCTCACCAGGGAGGATCTCAGGGGGACAGTACATGTACCTCCAGCCACGCCTCATCAATGTCCAGCTGGAAGAATGGTTTGCGAATCAAGAGCCGCTTTTGCTTGACGTGGAATTGCTCTTGGACAATAGCAAAGGTCCTTAGCATCTCCTCAGGTCATCAAAACTCCACCTGAGGCACACAAACTTGGGTCCTGCTGGGCTCGGGACAATGTGGCAGCCAGGACTCCTGGGTCCTGATGCTAGGGCTGTCCTCAGCCTTAGGGCTCCTCTGGGCATGGCTCAGCCTCCTCGTGATGGGGACAATCCAGGGCCAGGTTTCCCTGGGAGCTGGTGCCTCTTTGCGATCTGGCTCTGTGAGGAAAGACCTCTGGTGTCCCAGAGACTGGTGTGGCCTGCAGCTCCCACAGGCCTCTCAGGAATGTCCCAGGAATGCCCGCATGGTGTTTTTCTGGGGGGCTCGTGTATGCCTGCATGTGTCCTCGCCTGGGTGAGGTGCTTGCCAAGAGGTGGTGAGCTGGCTGGCCTGGAGCCTGACCTGGCTTTTCCTTGCTTCCCAGAGACTGAGGCTATCTGGGATGCTGTATCCGAGCAAATTCTGGAAGCGCTGAAGCGGGATAAGGTGGGCTGGTGTCCTGGGCCCTGCAGAGCAATCCCTACCCGAGCACTGAGACCGCCCAGGGTGCCCGGAGCAGCTTGCTGGCCAGCTGGGAGAGAAACCAAGGCCAGATCTGCTCTGCTTCTCAGGGGTTTGGCACACCCTAGGGCTTCACTCTTCCCTGCGGCCTGAGTGGAGAGGGCGAGCAGAGAGATGGGGGAATATCCTGGGTCCGTGCCTAGGATAATCAGTCCCAGGCCTAAGCCGTGTGCTTAGGCCTATGCCTAGGGAATCAGTCCCTAGGCCTAGGCATAGGGAATCAGTGTGTGCCAGCTGCGTTCACGTGCTAGGGCACTCAAGTAGTGCCCCAGCACATGAACCATGCCTTTCTGGACACCTAAGCACTACCTTCTCCCTCTCAGGCATCTTCCAAGGGCATTCCAGCACCTCACGGGAGATCCCAACTCTAGGTGGGTTCACCTGAACAATTTCCACTGTGAACCCATCTCCTGCTGATGCTCTAAGACATCGCCCAAAGGCATACAAGCATTTCTTGGAGGAACCCAGGAACCTCTATAGAGAACCCAAGCACCTCCTTGGAAGAATGAAACACCTCCCTGGGGAACAGTAGAATAACCCCATGGGTGCCCAAGCTCCTGCATAGGTCACCCCAGAAGATCTTTCAAGAACCAAGGAATTCCCTCCATTGATGAAGCACCTCTATGAAGAAATCCTATCCTGCCCCGGGTCAGAGAAACCTCCCTGGGTAAATCATGCAACGTCCTGGAGGAGCAAAGGATCTTCTTGGGTGTACAAGCATTTTCCCATGGTAGGCAAGCACCTCCCTGGGGACAACCAGCACCTGCCTCTGGGTCACTCATCCCCTTCCCTGTGGAACACGAGCATCTTGTCGGGACAACCAAGAACCTCCCAAAGCACTGAACAACACACTTAGTGCAGTCCAGCAACTCCCTGGAGCACACAACCTGCTCTCTGCTGGACCCAGGCAACTCCGGAGGTTCCAAGTGACCCCAGAGGAATCAAGCACCTTCCTAGAGAGCCCAAGGATATTCCCAGGGCACACAAGCACCTCCCTGGGGCACATAGCATATCCCAGGGGCAGAAGAAAAGCCTCCCTGGAGCACACAAGCCTCTGCCCTCCTAACAAAAGTTTCTGCCCCTGCCATACAACTCCTGCAGCACAGAAACACCTCCCTGGAACACACAAGCACCTCACTGGAGCACCCTAGAATCTCCCCACCGCACTCCTACATCTGAGTGGAGAACCCGAGCATCTCCTCGGGTCATCAAAACACCACCTGGGGCACACAAACTTGCTGTCACCCCTTGGATTTTTCAGAAGTGATAAACTTTTCCTCTCTCTCCAGAAATGACTCTCAGTCTTTCCCATGACAGACCTGTCATGGGACAGACCGAGAGTCATTTCTGGAGCTTGAAGAGCTCAAGTTCCCCCAGAAGACCCCGTGGCCCTGGAGCTGTTTCTCTTAGCGACCCTTCCTCTAGGACCTTGTTCGGAATGCTGCAAGCAACTTGGGCTTGCTGTGGCACTGAGGATGTTGCTTCTCCTTGCAGATGACGTCAAGGTCGAGCCGCTGAACTACCTGCAGCTAGCGCGAGCCACCTCCTTCCTGTTATATGTTGCCCCTTAATTAATTTTCAGAGAGCATTGCATTAATAATAGAAAGGAATTTATTGAGTAAGCAACAGCAAGCAAAACAGCGCTGGGCAGCCGGGGAGTCTCGGCTCCGCCAACGGCGCGCACCTCACCCCCGCTAGGGTCCCTTTTTATATCTTGGTAATTCCAGGATTATGCAGCACATCCTGGTATATTCTGCGACTGCGTGCACTGTTGCTAGGGGGTCGTCTTTGTCCCTCTGGTGGTCGTGAAGATGAAGGCCGTAGTCTTCCTCAGCGTTGTGGTTCAACTTCTTTTTTTATTTGGTCATGTTGGCCCAGCGTGAGACAGGAAGGCAGGATGTTGATACGCTAGGTTAGCAACTGATCAGGAGATGGTTACATGAGCTTTGCAGCAGGGTCTTTGAACAAAAGAGGCAACTGAGATGCAGAAGGAGAGAAAGGGAGGGGGTTCTCTTTTTTGTTACATTAAGCAAAAGAATTTTCATAGTGTCTAGCCAAGCATTATACAGCTCCTTACTTCAGCAGGGAGCTTTCTCAACTCCAGCTCCTCAAACGGAACTCCTTGTTTTTATAATAAAAAAGACAATGAACAAACATTTATTGTGTTTTACACTTCCCAGCTCAAACTGGGACCCCCAGCCCCTTCCCATTATGAACTGGGACCCTTAACCCCTTCCCAGTATGAATTGGGCCCACCCCAGTACAAAGTGGGACCCCCATACCCTTCCCAGTATGAACTGGGCCCATTCCACTGCAAACTGGGAACTTTCCCAGTACAAAGCAGGGCTCCCAGCTCCAAGCCAGCTCAAACTGGGATTGTCCCCAGCTCAGACTGGGACCCGCAGCCCTTTCCCAGTATGAACTGGGCTCCCCAGCCTCATCCCAGTACAAACTGGGCCCATTCCCAGTACAAACTGAGACCCTCAGCCCTTTCCCAGTATGAATTGAGCCCATCCCAGTTCGAACTGGGCCCCCCAACCCCATCCCGGTACAAACTGGGCCCATTCCCAGTACAAACTGGGCGCCTTTCCCTTCGCCCCGCCCCCCGTTGCCAGGTAACCGCCACCGCCGTTCCCGCCTCTTTTCCCCCGTTGCCAGGCAACCGCCGCCATTTTGTCCCCTCTCCCCGTTGCCAGGCAGCCGCCGCCATTTTTTCCCCTCCCCCTGTTGCCAGGCAACCGACGCCATTTTGTCCCCCTCCCCCCGTTGCCAGGCAACCGACGCCATTTTGTCCCCTCTCCCCGTTGCCAGGCAACCGCCGCCATTTTGTCCCCTCCTCCCGTTGCCAGGCAACCGACGCCATTTCGTCCTGCCCCGCCGGGCTGCCCGCACTGCGCATGCGCGCTCGCCGGCCTCCCATTGGCTCCCGCCCCGCGGCTTCAAACGGTCCGGCGGGAGCGATGGCGGCGGAGGCTGCGGCCGGTGCGGGGGGGGGGGGGGAATTTGAGTGGGGTCTGAGGGGATTTTTTTGGATTTTGGGGAAAATGGGGGTCTGGGGGGGCTCAGGGGGGTTTGGAGAAGGCGTGCGAGGCTCTGGGGGGCGTCTGGCGGTGAGGGGATGCGGGATTGTGAGGGGAAAAAGGGCTGAGGGGATGTTCGGTGAGGGGAGAGGGGCTGTGAGGGGACGTTTTGTGAGGGGAAAAGGGGCCGTGAGGGGAAAAAGGGGCTGTGAGGGGAAAAAAGGGGCTGTGAGGGGCATTTTGTGAGGAGATGAGGGGTTAAAGGACACTTCGTGAGGGGACAGGGACTGTGAGGGGGTATTTTGTGAGGGAACAAGGAGCTGAGAGCGGACAAGGGGCTGTGACATGGCTGACAAGAGAGGGTTCAGGTACAAAGGCCCTGGACCACCCTCCTGGTCTGTCCGTGCCAGCAGGGCACAGCCCAGCTGCCTCCCTCCTGCACCAGCCTGTCTTTGATCTCTGCCACGCGATCCAAAGCCAGCAGTGCCTGTCCTCCCTCTGCACGGTCGCATATCCCAGCTCGACACGGATGTTTCTCTCTACTGGGAAGCTTCCAGCCCAGCTCAGCTGCCCCCCAGCTCTCCCACCTCCCTGCCCTCTCCCCAGCCCAGCCCAGCCCAGTAGCCTAGGCTGGGCTGGTCCCACGGCAGTGCCCATCGCAGGCTGCTGCAGGGCTCTGGGCACTGCCACCACAGCTCCAGTTCCCATTCACTCCTGATCAACTCAGAATGGGTCTCAGACCAACATTTATTTGGTTAAAATACACAGAGATCCTGGCTCCTTGACTACAGAAATCCTGGGTCACACAGAAAGGGTGATACTCGTGCAGGAAGGAATGAAAAAGGGCGTTTTTGTGTAGGCAACAATATCACAAGGGCAGAAAGGAAAATTGAAGAGACAAATGCCATATGGAAAGGCAAGATGGCCTGTCATGAATAATACTTGGAGCCATCTGCAGAAGAAGGCAGACAGTCTGTGGCCACTGATAAACAACTAGTCAGCAGTTTCCATATTGAATCTTTGAGCTCCTGGTTCTTCATGCTGTAGATGAGAGGGTTCAGTGCTGGAGGCATCACTGAGTACAGAACTGCCACCACCAGGCCCAGGGATGGGGAGTAGGTGGAGGGAGGCTTCACGTCGGAAAAAAATCCAGTGCTGACAAAGTAACATGGAATGCCTGCCTCACAGTCATGTGAGGAAGGCACATGTAAAAAGGCTTTTTTTTTTTTTTTTCCTCTAGGAATTTTTTTTTCTCTAGGAAATATGTCCTTTCACTTCCATGACTTGAGATTCTTTTTGTGAGGTTCAGTTTACCATTACCATCATGGCATTGCCCATTG